ATTGTCATAGCAAAGTCAGAATTACCTCCTCTCCTAGTTTCACGAAACGGTCGTCCATAAAATGCTTTGCTGTTCTGTTGTAAGTAATCTTAAAGATTCCTAAATGAATCTACTTTCGGAAGGCCAAATAAAGTGCTTTTGCTTTCGCCTAGAAACACACAGCGTCTCCCTGACATGGCTGCTTCAACACTAACTGCGGTTACTGAAACCACGCCTTCTTTCTTTGCGTGAACATTTGGGCGGCATTATGCTAATATTTCCACATAGTGAGGTAGATATGTGGGGGCGTGTTAGAACGAGCCGTTTTAGGGGGGCGTGGCAGAGTTTTAACTTTGATAAAGAATATCTCTTCGGTTTTGAGACTTTAGTCTTTGCAACTTCAGGGATCTTATCTATGCACAATCAGCTTGTAACACTCCAAAGAGAAAGGAAAACTTGAAATCGCATCATATGACCCCTTTAAATCAGATAAGCCCTAACTATAATGATGCAAAAATACCAATAGCTGAACAATTCCACTGCACCCATGTCATCTCATGTCTGCTGGAAAATACAGTTTTACCCTCTGGTTATATTGTACTATTGTACACACATATTGTTAAATGAAATAAATAGCAATATTAAAATGCTGGCTGATGCATAAGCTGATGATTATTTAAATGTTATGGCCGATAACTCTCAAATGCTCAATAAATTCTATACTATTTTGTCAAAAATTAAAAATATGACATTAAAAACTAAACCCAATCATTTTAAATGAATTTAGGCATCACTAAATTGTAATGTACAGTTTGTAAAATGGATATTCATTTTGAGATTCGCAAAAGATTACATTCGACAATATTATATAATTACTGTTTTGAAATATTATCTTTTTAAAAAAGTAATCTTTTAGATGATGGCAAAGATAAATTGTAAAAAATTATTTTTCAAATTTTAAAGATAAATAAAATTTCTTGCAGATTATTTTAAAGATTACTGGAGTTTGTTTTTCAAGAAAATACTACTTCAATTTTATTACTTTAAAATTTATACATTTAATTCAATGTCACTCACCGTTTCATTGTAACTAGAAATTTTGCAATATCTGAGTGAAATATATATATATATATACACACACACACATGTAGACATAAAACAAAATAAAATCATTTTTACTAACAACAAAACTTTTATCTAGTCGAACACAAATGGATGTGTGGAGACAATTTATGACCCACAAGCTTATTTCCATAAAATGTAATTAAAATTGTATTTCTGTTTGTTGGTCTTGTTTTTAAAAATGCAAACTGAATATTCTGCCTCTTAGTTATGATTAAATCCACCATTGTCACTTCATTTTTATTTTATTATTAATATAGCATGAGAACTCATTAACAAAAGTTCATTCTGTTTGATGTAGTCAGTATCTTTCTCTTTTTGCTGCGCCACATTGGCATGTCTAATAAATGTTTTTTGAGACTCACAATTCAAGCACATATTAATAGCACCGAGAAGGTATAGTGACAGGCCAAGTTACGACGTCACAACAGATTTACTGTAATGACACTCTCGGCTCACCTTGAGTCTGCCAAACTCACAGGCCAGGTCCAGAGGGGTCTTCTTTGCCTTGTTGACAACACAGGGGTTGGACTGGTGTTGTAGTAGCATTTCAGACTGAGGGAACACACAGAAACACAGAGATACCGTGAGAAGGCAGAGGAGCTGCGTCTGGCTACATAAGGTTTCTGGGATTACACAATAGAAGACAATGTCAAAAGCAATATCAGTTTTAGTCTACCCATATATGAAAAGCTGAAATAGCATGCAAAAAGGTCAAGGACTGAGAGGGAAAGACCAAAGAAATACCGTTGATTCTTTGTAAATTATTGCATTATATGGCACACATTATATCCTGCAACATGTTTTGTGAGAAAAGGTAGGATATTTGGAAAGAGAATACTCTGCATTTCAAGCCAAACAACTGGTCAATCTAACCTGGTTCTGAGAGGTATCATATACACAGCAAGGTTAACTAAAAAATGCATGGTTTTAAACAAAGCCCTGGACCTGCAAAGTAATGCTATCTTTGCTGGGGACCTCTTTTCTGCCTCGAGCGTGCAACGACATGTCTTACATTTTCCTTCAGAAAACATAAAACAGTATGTTTCCTTTTTATCTAGCTGCCAGAGATCTGTAAACAGCCTCAAAAGCTGTATTTTGGTTTGAGTCACTAAGATTCCTAAGTCACTATCGAAGTGCTGCATTCAGCCTTTTTGCTCATTTATTTTGAACATACTACTAAGTGATATAACTAGTGATGCACTGAAACTTCGATAATAATAATCTGCCGAAAATGAATTTGCTGTTTCAGGTCAATGGCCCTTGCTTTACAATTACCTCAGGAAAGCCATTCAATGTTCATATTAGTCAGCTAGAAAAACATAATTCTAGAGATGAGCATATTGCTAGATTTATGCACTATATTAAAAATGTGTTATATTTTTGCTTAACCTGTTCCTTCATTTTTTCATGCAAGTTTGAATCTGTCATGAAAACAAGTTTTTATTACAGGCACCGTTTGAATTTTTATATTTCAAGAGCGAATTGGAATAGAAACAATTCTATCATTAAAAAGTTTATATACAAAAACTGCTTTGCAATTTAAATACAAAACTTTTTTCGATTTCGGTAAAAAAAATTATTTCGGGACATCACTAGATGCAGTATAACAAATGCAAATCCATAGTTTGTAATAGGAATACAATATATTTGCTACATTGCTAGGGTACTTCTATGACTGTTTTAAAAAATGTCATTCTTTGGATGGAATTCACTTACATCAAGTACATCAAGTCCCCACCATACCCGTCAACCAAACCAACTTTGGTACAATGGGCCATGATGTAGGTGAAAGTCTGAAACCTATATGACTCTTGACAACATTCTCCCTTTTGTTAGGATAGACTGCCACAAACTGATCAATAGTGGAGGAGCAGTGTGCTACATACCACCTCATAGTGTCCGTACTGTGCAGCCAGGTGGAGAGGGATCTGTCCATCTTGTGAAGCCCCATTCACAGAAGCTCCGGCTCTCAGCAGCATAAGTACAGAGTCAGCCTTCCCCTGCCAGGCAGCATAGTGCAATGGACGCATACCTACAACAGTGAGCAGAAAATCATTATTTTCACAGCTACTTGTTCTTTTAGACAGGAAAAAAACTGCGCTTTCTTTCTCTGGTGGTGCAATCATTTGTTCTGTTGAAATGGGAAAAATCATGACTACCTATGTTCAGTCTATGCGCAACACAATTCATGTATGTCTCTAATTGTCTTGGAGTATTTGAAGTTTGAATAAATTGCTATTTGTATGAATATGTTTATAGGCTTTCAACACTTATACAATTTGTTTTGATGGTACATTAAAGAGATCTTGACTCAAAGACTTGTTTCTGTCATAGAATACAAAATAAGATGTTTAGCAGAATGTCCAAGTTGCTCTTTCCCGTATGGTGAAAGTGGTTAGGGACAGGAACATTTGTGGTCACCATTCACAGAACGAGTTTGGAATGGCATAAGGGTGAGTAAATGGCAAAATCTCTTTAAATTAATTCAAAACTTTCACAATATTACATGTACAGAACACGAACATAACAGAGATCAATATCCTATGTTTGTTGTCTTCATATATTTTCTGGATATTATGTTTAAAAAAGCAATTTATTTATTATTAATATTTTTGGCAAAAAAAAAAATAATGCAGTTGCAATTGTATAGTTTTGAGGTTGTATTAATGTTTTTGTTAATTCTTTGGAAAAGATTAAAGAAAATAATATGGAAGCCTATATTAGACCACTTAGGACCGTGATCACTTCATACTGGTCTTATGTGCCAAAACATATTTTTGCAATTTGTGACCTTGGACCACAAAACCAGTCATAAGGGTCAATTTTTCGAAATTGAGTTTTATACATCATCTGAAATCTGAATAAATAAGCTTTCCATTGATGTATGATTTGTTAGGATAGGACAATATTTGGTCGAGATACAACTATTTGAATATCTGGAATCTGAGGGTGCAAAAAAAAAATCTAAATATTGAGAAAACTGCCTTGAAAGTTGTCCAAATGAAGTTCTTAGCAATGCATATTACTAATCAAAAATTAAGTTTTAATATATTTACAGTAGGAAATTTACAAAATATCTTCATGGAACATGGTCTTAATATCCTAATGATTTTTGGCAAGAAAAATCAATAATTTTGACCAATAGAATGTATTTTTGGCTATTGCTACAAATATACCCCAGCGACTTAAGACTGGTTCTGTGGTCCAAGGTCACTTTTTTTTTATCAATGTTTATATTTTTTCCTTTATGTCAATATGACATAACCAGAAAACAAAAAGGTTCTTTAAAAAAACAATTAAACAAAAGTAAGGAAATACATTCTAAATGTTTTACAAACTCATTGGCTAGAGGATAAAAATGGCAAAGTGTCTCACCATTGCTGTCTTTGATGTCCACGGTGGCCTGTGCCTCCAACAGCAGAGACAAGAGGTCAGTAGTGCCAGTGAGAGCCGCATGATGAAGTGCTGAAAAACTGTAGAACAGAGAAACAGTAAAATGTTAAAAGCTACAGTATTTACACCTCTAATATGCTTTTTGGTTAAATTCACAAAGCATTTGGCAAACAGTAACTCTTCCGATGCAAGTAACAAAAGTAACAAACTGAAAAATATTATGTATTTTTATGCCCTGATGAGCCATACTGAATCAATATGTTATAAGACATTCATTGATTTTACAAACAGAACACGACAAATATGCATATCATTTAGCAGAAAAAATGATCCATCTGGTGTGAAGGAGGAAAATGTTTGGCCGGTCTGGTACTGTTTCTGTCACAGAGTTCAATTGAGCACAACACTGCGATCAGTCCTGACGGCACAGCTAGAGCGCACTGCCCAATTAGCAGATAGATCTCTGCTTTCACAGACACTTTATGACTGGGGATGGTCCAGCTCCTAAAATATGCATGTGTTTGAGGGAACAGGCGACTGAAAAAATTAATAAAAAGAACATTTTTCAACAATTTAAAAGGATTGAACTCAACCAATGTGGATTAGGCCTACTACAGCTACATCTTCTCCGTATGTATATAAGTCTTGGTTTAAATAACTGTAATAAATAGTGTGCTGTTCGAGACAGATCTAGAGATATATGATATATTGAAGGGATTGTTATTGTAAGTGAAAGAACTGAATTACAGGGTTATCATTTCTCAAATCTGTGATGACAAGTATACTTAGCAGTTACTAATCTATGGGACAATATGTGGTTGTGTAGTTGGCAAACTTTTAACAATCATCACACTCAGTTCTAGGAACGGCTATTAAAATGTGTCAGTGCAGCTAATAAGTATATAATTAGCTCCCTAGATGAAGCTGACTTTTCCTTGCAGTCTCAGTTTCCGGGAATCTGGCGGAACTGTCCAAATCCCAACAAAGCACTTCTGTCTGAGATAGATAAATATATAATTTGTATTAAAAATGTATCACAGGAAGAGAATACCAAGATTTCTTTAGACATACTTGTCTCAAAGAGGAATAGTCCCTGTTTCACTAGCAGCTAGCTTTTGCTTTGTAGTGTACTGTCATTCGGTGTCAACGTGGACAGGTTCAATGATGCTTCAACTGAAGTTGCTCAGTATTTATTTAACAGTTTGAAGGATCAGTTTAGAGAAATTCCTTTCCAGTCCATAAGCGTGACTCAACATCACAACAAAATCCCTCTGACTTGAGTTAAATGATGGATGAGACATTCATGCATTTTACAGTGCACTTGTCATAGCCTCATTTTACCAAAAACACCTCAAATACGGGAGAATCAGGGCCTAAACAGAGCACAGAGTACAGTGAACGGATTGATGAAATGAAACAGAGGACAATACTTCTTCAGTGGTCAATATACGATGTAAATTTCAAGCGTTTTAACCCTCTATAGGACTAATTATGAATTTACAGCATAAAAAAAATATTGATTTTATATTTTACATATATTTAGGAGTAAAATCATTATCCAAAATTTGTTTTCTTCATCTGACCTTTGACCTTTTTTTTAGGGATCCGTCATTTATAACTGATGTTGTCCCATTAGGGTCAATTTTTTTTGACAAATTGTCTTAAACTTCAAACACAATCAAATGCTTTTTCACTACCTGAAAAGAAGTGAAAAAGTCTTGCTGTTTCAAAAAACATTAAAAATCTTTATGAACATAACATTTTTTTCTTGTGCTGCTATATTTGATTTGGAACTCGCACGTGAAGATGTCTAAAACTTGACACAAATTCGGATGCAATTTCACTGCCTGAAAACCATGTCTTAGGGTGCTTTCACACCTGGCCTGTTGTTTCGGAACCTGGCACGTTTCCCCACTTAGCTCGGTTCGTTTAGGCATCTGTGAACACGGCAATCGCGCTCGGATCCGCGCCAAAACAATTGGTCCGAGATCGCCTGATCGTTGAAAACGAACTCTGGAGCGGTTCGGTTGTAGTGAGAAAGCAATCCGATCCGACTCTTCTTTTTCAGTGTACCCCACACAATCCACACGTAAGTAGATGTTGACTTGAGCAGTCATCATTGGAGCATCTCTGTCTGTCAGTATAGTAATGCCAATAGACATTGGCATATTTCCTGACCTCTGGTTGTTGTATGGATCACATCTTTCAAACTGGCATACAATAATGTACCCAAATGCCTGACTTCCACAACAACCTATTCTTCATCACTGCCCTCACCCTCATTGCTTCTATCCTCCTTGGTCCTCAACAACTTGTTTTATTACTACAACCTGATTTTCTGATGCACTCATATCACTATCATCAATACTTTCAGAAATAAGTACAGATTTGTCTCTCCATCTTCCAAAAATGAACCTAAAACACATGCATAAAGGCTACTATACTGCCCGCCAATGCTGGTCAATAGTGCCAGCTACACAAAATATGCATCACATAATAGGACTTTGTCAGTTATGCATGACGCTCAGATTTGTTGGTCTCCGAGTTGTTGTTTTGATTAAAGTGCATTAAAAATGACAAAAAACTTTAGAAAACACATTTGCATGTACAATTATATTTTTTATAACTTGAATTTATATGTATTTTCTAGTCTAAAATGAGCTCACTATGGAGCCTTGAGAGCATGTGACCTAACGTTGTGCTAATGTCTCCTTTACTACTTAGTTACCAAATACCAAAAATACATGGTTTATAAATTTTAATTTTACAGGTTGAAGGGGATGTCATTTGACATCACTAAAAACTAAAATTGTTGGTTGAACATTAATATTGTATTTTAAAGGCACAATATGTACGATTTTTTTATTAAAATATCCAAAAACCACTAGAACAGTGTTATATATTTTGTTGAACTGTTGGAGAAAACTGGTTAATTTTAAACTTTTTTGCGCTATTTTCTATTTTCATCTTTAAAATCTACATTGTGTTGACGTCACAAATTGTGACGCGGCAAAGGACTATAGTGCATAGTGCATCCGTCGGTGTCTATTAAATTATTCATGAGACTGCGTGTTCTTATCATATGAGAAGACGCTTCGCTTAATTATTCACAACAGCATGTGTTGATTTGCTATTACAGAAGCAATGACTTACAAAGATACATAACAGCTACAAGTGTATGCACTACTTGCTTTATGCAAGCACTATATAGGATAAATCACAATATAGGATTTACCCTATTATACTTTATCGACAAGATTTGATAGGTGAAACAACAAACAGCCACCCACAAATAGTCTATATACAAAGCATCAGGCTGTCTTTGAGTTCACATGAACAACGGTTAAAGT